TCCCCAGGCACTGTCCCCAGGCTCTCTCCCTGGGCTCTGTCCCTGGGCTCTGTCGCCAGGCTCTGTCCCCACACTTTGTCCCTGGGCACTGTCCCCAGGCTCTGTCCCCGGGTGCTGTCCCCAGGCACTGTCCCCGGGCGCTGTCACCACACTCTGTCCCCGGGCTCTGTCCCCTGGCACTGTCCCCGGGCGCTGTCACCACACTCTGTCCCCAGGCACTGTCCCCAGGCTCTGTCCCCGGGTGTTGTCCCTGGGCGCTGTCCCCACACTCTGTCCCCTGGCACTGTCCCCTGGCACTGTCCCCGGGCTCTCTCCCTGGGCTGGCACCGCCGTGACCCCCGGGACAGGAGTGGCCCTGAACAGCCCCGGGCTCCACCGGCGGGGCCGGGCCGTCACCGGGAAAGCCCAAAGGGCGCTGCCGGACGGGACGGAGGCGCCGGGCTCGGGTGGCTGCGGTGCCCGCGGAGGTTCGGGAGGGCGGCGTGAGGGAGCAGCCGGAATCCCGAGGCCGGGGAGCGCAGGAGCGAGGCGGCTGAGCGAGGAAGACCGAGGAATGCCCCGGCTAATCCTGCTGCCCGCCGCCGGCTATTTAGGGAAGAACCGAGGAGGCCGCGCTCGGCCCTGGCTGCGCTCCCGTCCAGCCGGCTGGAGCCGGGCCCGCGCCCCCTCCTCTGATCTCAGGGAGCAGCAATGCGGGGGCGCTGCCAGCCCGGCTGCCGGCAGCGCCAGCCCAGGAATGTCCTTGTCCCGGCACGGCGCTGTCCCCGCTCTGTCCTGCCAGCCCGGGACACCGCCGCTCCCCCGGCACCGGACCCCGGGCAACATCGGCGGCAGCCGGGCAGCGATCGCGGGCGGGGCGGCTCCGCGCACCTCGGGCGTGTTTTGAGGAAGGAAAGAGGTTTTTGTTCCTGGTGAGGCGGTGGCCAGACCTCCCGCTCCCCCCTTTGCACCCCAAAATCCCGTGGGTTTCCGTGAGCCACACGCTCCCGTTGGACCCGGAGCCCGAATTCCAGGCGCTGGAATCTGGAGCTGCCGGGATCCCGCGGCCGGACGGGCTGCGGGGAGGCGGCAGCTCCCAGCCCCGCGGCTTTCCCCGCCCTCCTCTCCCGCTGCAGGATGACGGATGGAGGTCAAAGATGACACCAGCAGCTTTGAATTCTCCCAGCTCTCTCCATCTACTGGGCCTTTGATTGGGAGAGCTTGAGCCGAAAAGGAGAAACTCTACCGGGGAATTCCCGGTTCCAGAGCAGCCGAATTTAATTAAAACAACTTCAAACATTAAAGTGATTCGCCAGCTAAATCAATGCAGTGGTAAACCCCCCATCAATTCTGCCCTGCCCTCCTCGGGTTTGTTTCCCCAGGGAAAGGTCAGGGGAGCAGTGGTCAGGCCAGGCCTGCAGCCCGGCAAGGGTGGAAGTAGCCAGGGACAATCGTGTTTCCCTGGCGTCCTGAGGAGCTCCAGCCCTGCATGTGGCTGTTGTGGCACGGTGCCTTTGCTGCAGGACGTCCTGGACTCGGTCCCTGTGCCCAGCTCCTGTTTGTGCCCACGTGCAGCCCCGCCTGTCCCGGAGAGCCCGGCTGCTTCCCGCTGCCCAGCAGCTCCCAGCGCCCGTTCCCGCGCTGCCCTTGGTCACCCGAGCCCCGAGACCTCCTCGGGGCTGGCTCCCAGCTCGCGGCCCCTCGCAGCGCCCAGGAACATCCCGTCACGGCTCCGTGAACTCAGCACCCCCCAAATAGCCCGGTGAGCCTGGCCCCAGCAGGAGCGCTCCGGCCCCGGCGCTGGCCCGCGGATGATCTTACAGCCGGGGAAGCTCCAAACATGCTGCTCCTGCCCATAAAAAGCAAAGGGCTTTGGGCATGGAATCATCGGGAACACGGGGATTGCGCCAGCCGGGGGAGACGCTCCCGGGAGACAGCGTTGTTGGAACGGCGAAAGGGCAGAGGGAGCTGAGGCGGGGGGCGGGGGAGCCCCAAAACACAGCCCAGTCCCCTCCAGGCGTTTGTAAAACACACCCAGAGCTCTGCTGCCGCCGCTTGGCTCCTTGGCCGCCTCATCCCGATGGGAATACGTGACCCAAATCGTGCACCAGAGCCACTTGTTAGGAACACAGAGGTGGTTATTCCCTTATATTGTGATCCCCATTTTTCAATTGCCCCCAAATCCCAGTCTGTCCCATACCGGGCTCTGGAGACCATTCCAGAGAGCTGGAAGCTGGCGGGAGCCGTCCCCTCCCGGCGGTGCCTGAGGCACAGGCCCTGGGCACCACCCCGGCAGTGGAGCCCATCTGGTGGCAAGAGACTGCGCAGGGAACTCCTACTCAGTGAGAAGCCGAGCTTTCCAGGCAGGAAGAGGAAAAGCACCTCACTGGAGCAATGGCCAATGGATAAAATTGGAATTTAATTAAGTTAAGGAGATATTTGCAGAACTAGAAGATCCAAACCACCTCCCAGCACACCATGTGCTGCCCCCTGCGCGGACACACGTGGAGACAACGGCCCCTCCGGAGCCTCCTCTCCCGCAATTCCCAGGAATTCTTCTTGCCTGTCTTATCTGGCCACCCGCGGCTGCCCTCAGCCGCCGCCGTCGGCGGGGCCGGCGCGCAGGTCGGGGCGCAGGCGGATCTCCACCAGGCGCACGGCGCGGAGCACCACGGCCAGCTGCGAGCACAGCCGGGCCAGCACGTCCAGCACGGGCTCCGCCAGGTCCCGCACGCCAGCCAGCACCTTCAGCAGGAAGAGCAGGAGCGGCTGCAGGAGGCTGTGAAACGCCGCCGCCAGCAGGGGCTTCAGGACGTGGTCACCGATGGCTGTCAGGACACCGACCACCAGCGCCTGGATTTGGGATGAAATCCTGTGTTTGAGCGATACTTGCCAGCGGGAGTCACCACACACGGGCTGACACAAAAATTCCACTACGGGAGAGGAAACGTGCAACAGCGGGAAAGTCCCCAGTGCTGAAGGACTGTGACACCCCCGGCAGCTGCTCCGGCCGCGGCCCTGCGGGAACAGCGCTCACCTGCACCACGGCCTCGCCAAGGAAGCGGATCAGCTCCACCAGGAACAGGCTGAACACGCTGACCAGGCACCGCGGGACGGAGAACAACTCCCGCAGCCTCCGCTGCACCGTCCACTCGGTGCTGCCGTGGAGAACAGGGAATGTCAGCCGAGAGCCGGCCCTGGGGGATGCACCCCCGTCCCGGGGCCGGCTGGCACCCCGGCAGCTCCTGGGCAGCACATCCCAGGGAGGAGAAAGCGCTGGAGCCGTGCTGGCACAGGCTCTCCCTGTCTGGCCCAAAGCCGCCTGAAGCAGCCCCAAAACCCAGGCCACGGGGATGGCACCCGAGCAGCGGCCGGCCGGGAGCAGCAGCTCCAGGAATGCCGCCCAACAGCACCCGGAGCAGCTCCGGCGCGGGCAGTTCTGAGGCTCCCTCTCATGGCCACCGCCACGAGGTGATCCGGACATTCACTCCGGTTTCTCTTTTCGGAAAAACTCCAAGCGAAGAGGGTGAATTGTGCCGGGCTGGGAGGAAACCCCAACCCAGCGGAGCACCAGCGTGCCCGGGAATGCCACGGCAGCAGGTTTGGGGTGCAAGGAGCGGCTGCAGGATGACCCAGACCCTGAGGTCTCCCCCATTTTGTGCCGGTGACCAAACCTCCCGTTTCCCAGAATCCCAGCCGAGATGCTCCACGCTGCCGCTCACCCACCCGGGATCCCACTGTGGAGAAACCCCCCGCCAGGCCCGAGCAGATCCCCCTGGGACCTGGGGGAAATGTCCCGTCAGCACCCCATAACTGGTGCCTCGGGCGCCTTTTCCCATCCGGGATCGGGCCCTGGCCTGCGGCCAGCCTCACACCGGCTGCAGCTGTCCCTTGGGATCAGCTGGGATCCCGGGAAAAGCAGGGACAGGGCAAGAACAGGCACCGTGGTGGGATAAGCTGCAGGGCAGTCGGTGATCCAGCCGGGAATCCAGCCGGGAATCCACCTGCTCCCCTGCCCCGGGACCCCCGGGCTCTGCTCCTACCCCCTGCTCGCAGGGATCGAGCCTCTTTCCCTGGGAATCCGCCGGGCTCTGATCTTTCCCGGGAACCCACGGGGCACCCTGGATCCAGCGGGATCCGCTCCTCCCTGCGCACACTGCTCCGGGACCTGCGCTCCCCTCGAGAAAGCCCCGCTCCCGTTCCCGGCGCTCGCACCGCGAGCGGGGCGAAACATAACATCAAACCCCTGAGACCCGCAAGTTAGACGGGGCCAGACTGGCCCCAGCCCGCCGGGGCCCCCGAGCCCCCGGGGCCATCCCGACACCGGCAGCGCCGGGGACCATGCGCACCCCGCCCCGCGCGGCAGCGCCTCGGGTCCCGTTCACCGGCGGGCCCCAGCGCGGGGGAGTCCCGGTACCTCCTTCGGTTCTTCCGCGCGGGGCGGGGCGGGG